TTTAGGTTAGGGCTATTCTTTCTTTTTCTAAATTCTTTCTTGTTTTCTATTGCTGTCTCATTCCTTGCCTTTTTTTGCTGGCCACAGTTTCTCAGAGAAAAGCCAGATCATTCTCATCATAGGTCTAAATTGATTGCAATATCCATAGTCCTGCCTAGTCACCTCGTTTGTTCCTTTTATATTCCTTGTTGAATTCTGCATTAGTTATGCTTGTGGGAGCTTCTGTCCTTGTTTCAAAGTTCAGAGTCTTAAACATTCAGCAAACTGCTTCCAGCTTCCATTTATACTGCCATGTTAATTTTATGCGTGAATAAATAAATTCTTTGCAGTCACCTCAAGAAGCTCAAATATTTGCAGTAAGATTGCTCAGAAATGACAGCATTTAAGGAAATTCCAGTTTGTTTGCTATTTAATTGGTATTCAATCCCTCTAAATTTCCTTGTAGAAATTTATGCATCTTTTGCTTAAAACAGTTGTGCTAATGGAGAACAGAAAAATGTTTTTTTTGTGTGTGTATTCACTAGCTTGAGAGCATGGCAGTTACAATAAAACCTAAAAGATGGAAATATAATTAAACACTAGGAGATAAAAATATGTATATGTATATTTGTTAGTGGCTACTTTCTGCTTGTTTGACTATCCCTCCTCAGTCTTCATGTCCATAGAGCTCTTGTATAAAGTTCTCCACATCAAATATAACTGTTAATAATACAAAATCCAGGCAAATTCATAAAAACAAATTTATTACTTTTTCAGAGTTCAAGCACATTTTAGCAATATCTAAATAAATGAAGCAAGGAAATTTGAATCTAGATTGTATGCTGCTTATTTATTTACTTCTCTGAAGCAAGGTACTGGGGAAAGAGAAGAGGAGACAGAGCTGTTAAATTTAATAACTTTAAACAAAAATGTGCCACAACTTACTTTGAAATGAGAACAACACATTAAAAATGTAAGAATGGGAATTTGAATAAAGAAGAGATAGGCAAAGGAGTACATAAGCTAGTTATTAAGCATTAGGAATGAATGGCAGATATAACCACAGAATAACATATCCAATAAATAATTATCAAGAAGCTAAAATAATGCAAATTCATAAGCCAACAGTTCACAAATATAGTACATGCTGTTTTAGGGACAAAGAAAACATTAAGTACTCTGCAGGTATCTCAATAAGGCCCTTTTTTTCTTTTTATTTCTTTTTGCTTCATTCCACCATCCTACCCTTCCACTTTCTTGTTGCAGAAAGTGTTTTTTTTAATTACAGATAACATTTTTTATTTTGCTAAGGGTTCAACAAGCTGTATTTAATAATCTTTGGGACTCAAACATTTTCATAATGGTTACATATGGCAAAATATATATAGTGCTTTCAGGATAAGCCAAGAAAGAGCTGTCCTCTAAGCAATGGTGGGATTCAGCTGGTTCGCACCGGTTCAATAGAACCGGTAGCTAATTTCTTTTGAGTTCCGTGAACTGTTTGATGCGTGGCAGAAACAACCCTCTTCCTGCCCCCCATTGGACCCATGCAACACCTTCTTTCCAACTCTGACGTGGTCCTCCGTCACTTCCTCTGCTGCCGTGTGCAGTCCCACAAACAAAAACATAAGAGGCGCTGTCCTGCAGCAGCTCTGGAAGTGAAGCTGTGCCGCCCATCCTCGCACTGGTGGGGGTGGCGGTGGGGGAAGGCGGGCTCTGGTGTGCACCCACCCCTCACCATTGCCGCTCTGCATCATGCCCCTCATGCTCCCAGCCCCTCACCACCACTGCCCCAGCAGTTCAGGCCCCCAAGCCAGCTGTCTCTCTACCTGAACTTGAGTAGACGGGCCCAGTGTCAGATCTAGTAGATCTAGCTCTGAGTCTTCTTACTCCTCAGAGCCTTCCACAGACTCCGATGTGACCCCAGGCAACTCTTCCCCCACATTCAATTCATCTGACTCGGCTGCCAGATCTGCTGGCAGGCGAGGACTCACAACAGGTGGGGGGTGGCTTTCCTCTGCGGAGGTGTCCTGGCCCTCCCAGCCCCCTAGCCGGACCCCCTCACCTTCCCCCAACTGGGACCTGCCAACCCCACCATCCTGCACTCGAGACTCCTGCAGCCCCCCCATCATACCTTCCTGCCCCCCCCCCAGCTGGGACCTCCAGCATTTTCACAACCAGGAGCTCCTGCCCCCCCTTCGATGGGACCTCCTGCCCCCACCCCAGCCTACCCCCAAGCAGCCCACCCCGACCAAGGCGGAGGGAAGGCGAAGCAGAGAACCAGTTGTTAAATTATTTGAATCCTACCACTGCCTCTAAGTATTAAACATTAGTGTGATGATAAAAGGAACAAAACACACAAAAGGGTAATTACACAGAAAAGAAAAGGATAATTAATAAAATTACTGCATTGTGAACAAAAAAAAAAGACAGCAATTATATAACTAATTTTCCATGTAGGTTTTAAGGTGTGCATAACTCTTACTATTATACTGATTAATTTAGTCTCTGGCTGTAAATTTATAAAATAAATAACATTATATGATTATCAATTTGTCTTTTTCTTGGGTAAAGCTGACCCACAGTTATTCTGCAAGAAAAATAAGATTAATATTGGAGAAATTATTTAAAGTACCTTATTTAAGATAATAAAACTCAGTTCCATGCAATCATTTATACAAAGCTTTTTTCAAAAAGAGAGCTTATTAAAAAGAGGGGAGAAAGCAGATCTCTTATTAGAGTCCCTATGTTCTTCATCTCACTTAATTAAAAAGAATAGTGTGATTTTTTTTAAAAAAAAAACAGATTTCTTCCTCCACACTGTGATCAAACTTCCTTCACTTTAAATTAGTAGCCCTTTAGGTCTATGAAGAAAGGAAGTAACAGGACAATAAAAATTGGGGGGGGGGACTAGAGGCTGAGGAGCGTTTTTGCAGCACCAAATTAGATCCAGTACTTTTCCATGAAAAATTGTGTCAAAATAGTGGAATTTGTTTTCTTCCAAAGCTCAGAGCAACAGTAATTATCAAAGTGGAACTATTAAAATAATAATGATAAAGTGTTGTTATTAGTTTTCAACTTATGTGCAAAGGCAAAGGCAAATGAAGAGCAATTAAGATAATTAAAGGCCTGGAGACTAAAACATATGAAGAACGGCTGCAGGACTTGGGTTTGGCAATCTAAAGAAAAGAAGAAATAGGGGTGACATAATATCAGTATTCCAGTATTTGAGGGGCTACCACAAAGAAGAGTGGGTCAAATTATTCTCCAAAGCACCAGAGAGCAGGACAAGAAACAATGGTTGGAAACTGATCTAAGAGAGAAGCAACCTGGAATTAAGGAGAACGTTCCTAACAGTGAGAACAATTAACCAGTGGAACAGCTTGCCTTCAGAAATCGTGGGCACTCCATCACTGGAGGTTTTTAAGAAGAGACTGGACAGTCACTTGTCTGAGATTGTATAGATTCTCCTGCTTGTGCAGGGGGCTGGATTAGAAGACCTCCAAGGTCTCTTCAGCTCTATTCTATTCTATTCTATTCTATTCTATTCTATTCTATTCGATTCGATTCGATTCGATTCTAAATTGTAATGAAGAAATCTATTTAGTAATATCACTCAAGAGTTCTCATAGGAGGTAGAATCCACACCAACTTTGGAATGATCTCAATTCAGTGAGATCTATCCCAGGTTATTAGTATTAGACAGAGACAACAGCAAATGCTTTCATGTCATCATCGTCGTCAACCATATGTTTATAAATATATTTCATAAGTACTATGTTTATTTATTTCTACTGTTTGGGGCTAGATCCCATAATACATTTTGCTCATTTGGAGAAAACATGAATGGAAGGGAAGTAGAACCACAAAAATGGGCTCAAGTCCTAAATGCTTATTTGGTTCTCAGGTATACAGGCTTGAAGTCAGCATAGAAACTAGTGCAAGTAGGAGAGTAGATTGTAGGTGCAAACCAATGTTATGATGCTCAGCTGCTATGTATTTTTATTTTTGTGTCTGGTAGTTTATCTAGTTTAATGCAAGCTGTCTAGAGTCATGTATGTAGATCAGGAGTCTTCAAACTTGGCCCTTTTATGACTTGTGGATTTCAACTCTCAGAATTCCTCAGCCAACATCATAAAAGGGCCAGGTTTGAAGACCCCTGCCTTAAAACCTAGGAATATAGAAACAGTTTATGCAATACTTAAGTGAATAGTGTTATTCTGAAGAGTTTAAATGAGTAGTTAAACATGTGCCTGATATTTAAATGACAACAGAATCAAATGCCTCCTTGTTGAAGTGCCTCATGATTAAAAAGGATCCATCAGGTTTTATCCCGCCTCACAATTTTCAGAGTTTCAGTACAAATAGAAATACTCTTATGTTCACATTGACAGCACATATTCTAAATACCAATACTGGATGTTACAAAAGATGAGTGCTACATTTTTATTGTTTTTTTAAATTCTTTAAATGTAATGCTAAATATATTACATTCTCTAGTTCTCTCTAAAGTTCAATTCACATTTTCCTTTCAAACACACAGAAGTTGAATGATTGTGCATCTATGTAAAAAAATAACACCCCATGAAATATTTGCTTTCTTGAAATGAAGCATTAAAATATGGTATCAAACATGTACTGAATTCTGCTTTAAAAAAATACTGGCAACGTTGAACGTATTTGTCTATCAGCCGAAAGCTATGATTATTTTTCATTTCTTCATTACTTAACTTTTTGTATCTGCCTTCTGGACCCAGTTGGCAATGTGCCCATGGCCTTTTAGGTTTAATGATGTCTAAAGATATATTTATATAGCTATATCTAAGATCAGCAGTTACTGAATTCTTCAGGAACATGGCTATTATTCACATAATAGAACAGAACCTTCCAAAACTGTCATTTTTCTTTTTTCAGTACTGCTAGTTGTGTACGGGACTCAATGGTTTGCAGCCAGATATTTCAACATTTCAATTGGAGGGCAATCCTATATGTTTTACATCTTGTTTAAATGTTGCAAGGATTTACTGAAACATGCTCATGACGAAATAACAATGTGAAATTAAGCAACTTACTTTACAGTGGTCGTGTTGCTGCTGTAAAGTTGGAACATCTCCACCCACAGGCATCTCCTTCTTTAATTCATCATCTTTCAAATTTAGCCATTTGATAAGTTCTTCCAGTGACGTCACTAATTTACTCCATTTCTCCGCACTTGCCTCCAAATGAGCCCTACAATAAGATTCAACACATTTTTCAGGAGCTTTGTGTGCTGCATTAAAACATAACTAGATATTAGCGATCAAATACTGCATGGTGAATAAAGTGTAATTTTCTTTATTTAAATGCATGGTGAATAAAGTGTAATTTTCTTTATTTAAATCAGGGGTCCTCAAACCTGGCCACTTTTAAGACTTGTGGACGTCAACTCCCAGAATTCCCCAGCCAGCCTGGCTGGGGAATTCTGGGAGTTGAAGTCCACAAGTCTTAAAGTGGCCAAGTTTGAGGACCCCTGATTTAAAGCAAATGACAAAACAAACGATACCTTCAGTATATTTGAAAATTATTTATAAATGAACGAATCCAATAAAAAAGAATTAATGATAACACCATGGTGCTAAGATGCATTTTAAAAATCTTATTTAATGGATTTCTAAATGTGTTAAAAAATAAAAAATAAAGGCACCAAAATCTCGTCTTACTTCTGCACTTCCTTCAAATCCAAGCTCTGGCCACCATATAAATGGATCTCACACTTCCCACACTCTCCAATTTTTTAAGGCAATTATTTTAATTTCTATTTAAGCTGTTACTTGATAGCCACATTTCCAAAAAGGCATAAGCATTGGGGGGGGAGGTAAATGTTGTCCAGCTGAACACTGTTGATACTGATTATATTTTGTATTTTGCTGAATCAATAAATCACTAGAGCATTGTGCAGTATTTCAGTTAATATGACATGCTGTTAGTGTAACTACACTTGATGTCAGATCTCTTTTATTTAGGCTCTTGTTTATTTATGGCAAACAGAGAGCACCTTAACAATTAAGAGGAAATTGTTACAATCTTCTGTAGCCATTTCCCCCCCTAGAATGATGATAAAAGTATCCCATCCCTCTCTTTCAAAACGATCTGTTCAATGATCCTGATTAATGTTGAGAGCATTACAATATTAACACCTATATGTCACTTAGGCTCCAGGGCACAGTTAAAAGTTCTCACTTTAGCTTTCTGATAAAGTTTTTAGTTTTCAATATGAAATTCCAAGCATTTTAACAATACATTTAATATCAATAAAAACAGCTTGAAGCAAACAACAACAAAAATCCCCATGCAAACCAATATAAAGGTAAAACAAATCGTAACAATACATCAAGCAGGGAGTATCCATCTAAACATTAACATACTTTTTTTCCCAATTTTTCTCTAGAGCATTTCTGTTTACCAGGATGCTTCTGAATTGCTAATTATGTTGTTATCTGCTTAGCCTCTTACCAATTCTTGTAGTAAAAGTAAGACCTGCCAAGGCTCCCTATTGGCTAATTAATCACACTCATTTATTGAGGCACCTATGTATACATGTTATTTATATACATCAAATTAATTTACATAGTTTTCTCTTTTGTTACCACGCTTCAAAAGACATCTTGATTAAAAGTATGTCATTGGATAATATGCCATCGATATATTTATAGAAAGTCGTGGCTCAAAAATTTAGATGGCATACAGCTCAAGAGAAAGTGGGTCATGCACCAAGACAGTGATCTAAAACTCAAGTTGTACAGCCAAAGAATAGTTAAAACAAAAGGAAGTTTATGGCTTTGTTTGTTCTTAAGACTTGGTCTTGTGCAACCAGAATTAACCTTCTTTCTTCTTTAGAATTAACCCCCTCTTTCTTCAGATCTCCTGCTGTTAACTCTAGCCAGGTCCTGATGTTATCTGCTTTGCCTGCTATTATTTTATGTCCTGCCCGTGTAATATTTTGCCTTATCATGTCTCTTTCCTATTCTTTACTTGGTCTTTCCAGTTTAGTCTCTCCAGTACTCCCCAGATATTTCATATATTCCGATGCCCTTTTTCTTCTTCAACTATTTGGTGCACTTGTGACATTCCACACTCATCTATTTTCCTTGCTAACTAAAGTCTGTCACCATCACTGCATGGATGAAGGGCATGATTCATTGTCATTTCTCTGGTCTTCCTATCCAGGATTTTTAGTTCTGCCTGAGTCAGCCTACTATTCCAACTGTGTATGTAATGCCTGGAATTGTCCAGGTGCTAATTCCTTAATGGTATTTTCTCCCTGAGCTGGAGTTTTAGATCTTCTTCATTCTCATGATGTCTTCATTTCTATCCTTCTTCTTGACTCCAGTGTGCTTGATGTTGTCAGCTTGAAGGATACCCGGCTATTTGTATGGTCTTCATCTGTATTCTTGATGTTATTTCCATAAGGCATTTTGATTCCTCCAGGTTTCACCATTTTTCCTGTGTTAATGGTGAGGGTGGCATGTTTGTGCAAACTCCATTGCGATATCTTGGCTGCATATACCAATAATGTTGAGCAGCAATTCTATTTCAGATGGTGTTTTTCCATGCAGATTCAGATTGTCCATATAAAGGAAATGGGATAGCCTGGCAGATGCTTTTGATGTTTGATAGCCATGGCCTGACTTATATTCAGTATTGTTGACAGAGGAATCAGTGACAATGACAAAGAGTAGTAGTGATAGTGATCCTTCTTGAAAGAGTCATCATCTCTTGATATTAACTTCTACCAGCCTATCACCATTGACTAACAATGGTGTCTTTTATTGTGCCACTGATTTTTGCACAAAGCTTCTGATGTTGCTACTGACTCTTTATCATTTCTAGGCTCTTGATTATCCAATCATGTGGCAGGGAATCGAATGACTTATAATCAATTAAAGCTACTTGCACCTTGGCCTTCATTCTTTTACAGTTTTCCAAAATCACCTTGTCAATTAGGAGTCAATCTTTTGGGGTTTTTTGCTGTTTTGGCAGTGTTGTGGGTTTTTTTGGTTTTTTGTTTTGCTCAAGTGGAAAGAGTTTGTTTTCAACTACATGCCCTTCAACTGCATCAGTTACTACTTCAGTTAACAATCTGAAAGTTGTTGTAAGCAAGTAATTGGCCTATAGTTGCTGGTGCTGACCTTTTGATTGGCTGATTCATTATTGGTAAGTTTTGCCAGATGTTAGGCTATCTTCAATTTCACTTCCTTGCAGTATATTGTTAAACTGCTTGGCAATGAGTAAGTGTAGACTAGTCAGATATTTCAACCAAAAAACACTCAGTTCATCTTCATCTGATACTGACTAAATCTTGATCTTCCTTGCATTTTCTCTACCATTTCTGCTGTTATTATAAGTTTTTTTTATTTCAGCTTCTTTTTTTATCCTTATCCACCTTCTTTATCCAAGTTGTATTCTTTTTGTATTTCTTTGGATTGTCCCATAGCTGTGCCCAGTACTGCACTGTTTCTTCTTTGTCAGGGGCTACCACAAAGAAGAGGGAGTCAAGCTATTTTCCAAAGCGCCTGAAGGCAGGACAAGAAGCAACGGGTGGAAACTAACCAAAGAGAGAAGCAACCTAGAACTAAGGAGAAACTTCCTGACAGTTAGAACAATTAACCAGTGGAACAACCTGCCTCCAGAAGCGGTGAATGCTCCAACACTGGAAGTTTTTAAGAAGAAACTGGACAGCCATTTGTCCGAAATGGTATGGGATTTCCTGCCTGAGCAGGGGGTTGGACTAGATGACCTCCAAGGTCCCTTCCAACTTTATCATTATTATTATTATTATTATTATTATTATTATTATTATTATTATTATTATTATTATTATCATTATTATTATTAAGTGTTCACTAGTTCAATTTGGTCTCTCCATCGATGCATTGGTAGAAACCTTTCTGATTTGACTGAAATTGAGGTTCTGCCTATAGAGTGCAATTCAAACTTCTTGTCTGCTGATGTTATTATATGGAATATCTATATCATACAATTATTTTTTATATTCATCTCAGCAACGAAGCAGCTGAACAGCTGAAAATTGTGATGCAAACATCAGACAAACACAAGTTCAACCATAAAACCATTAAAATGTGATTGCAATGCACCATTCATAAGAATTACCCTCATTATCTCATCTGCATATTCTGACACTGAAATTAGTGCCTGGCTGAAGTAAATGACTATAAGGCAGCAAGAACCATTCATTCTTCCAAATGATGATTAATATCCAAGAAATACACGGGCAATGGGATCATATATGGAAAAAAGGACTGAAATGTACATTGAATTATAATTTGAAAGATAATTTTTATAAGAGTATGTACTGTTGGTATTTAACATCTGATAAACTGTCAAAGAGGTATAAGGGTATGCCAAATCTATGTTGGAAAAGTAAACAATTTGAAAGTACTTTGGACAGTGAAATCAGATAAGTATTTTAACTCGGAGAATTCTTAAATTGAATGTACAATTGAAGACAGAGGTTTTTGTTTTAGGTTTGATGGATAAACAGATTGAAAAAAATAGTTGGAACTTTGTTCTTATATGCATTAACAGCAGCAAGGCTTCTCTATGTGCGGAGATGGAAGGACTCACATATAACCCACAATGAAAGAATGGTGAAATTAATGGAGTTGGCAGAGATGGCACAATTGACTGCTTGATTAAAGAAAAAACTTTGTCTACCTTGTTTTTACTTGGAACCCACTTTTGGATTTTATTTTTGTTTGAAACTGAAAGAAATAAAATTTTAATCTCAGGTTGTGATGACTAGATCTGTTTATGCTAATAGAAATACTGTTTATTATTGCTTATTCTAAGGTTATTTTTACCTGTATTGAAAAAAGTCAGAAGATACATTTTCATATAGCTTTTTTTCTCTATCTCTGCACTCTCCCTACTCCTTTATTTTTTTTTTAAAAAAATCCTTTTTCTTTGCTTTTTGGTATTTTATATTTTTATGAAATTTAATAAAGTTTTATAAAAAATAATCTCCAAGACAGACAAAGCTGTTGAATTAGTGGAATTTTGCTGGAATTTTGTAGCTCTCAGTTAATGTATTAGCATAAACCTATCCCTATTTTTCTAATTTGACAGGGAAGGATTAGAGACACCAGGCATTAGCAGTGCTTCCTTTAATTATCTCTACTATTCTTTCAAAGTAAATAAAATACAAAATTCCATTAGTTCAGATATTCACAGATCATGGGTCAGAAACTTTACATCAGGGTATATTGCTATGGGGCACTTATCAAACTCAGATAATAAAAGAGCAGATTATCTTGACATTGTATTATTTACAAAAATGTTTCTGAAAATAAAATGAAATTTAAAAAAACACATTTATTTGTTATGCTTGCTAATGTTAACTATTGGGCCTGAATGGTTTAGAGATACATGCTGTAATACGAGCTTGTAAGGCAATATCTCAAATTCAGACTCCTGCTTCCCGGTGCAACTCGTATTCCTGCCTCTAGTGAACTGTCAGATGCATCATAATCTGCAACTAATCTTTATAATCCAATCATTCATTCATAAATACTAATTGCTCCTCTTGGGCAAACTGCTTACAATTTTTAATGCTATTAAAATTAAGATCAAATCCTAATCTTGAAAAGCATGCTGATCACCAGCCATATTTTTTTAACTTGCTCTGCCTGGTTCTCCATGCAACAAGATTTAAGTTTGGATTTATTTTGTTGTTATGAGAATTGAGCTTACTGTGATGCTATGAAAATAGATAATCTTATAGTTAAACATTTCTCAGAGGAGCAGCAGGCAGAGATTATTCTTAGTTTCTAGTACTGATAACTGAAATTACTACATCATGAGACACAAGAATATCAATTGGTTTCACTGATCTGTCTCTATTTAGGGTGAGGCTAAGATGGGTTCTTGAATGTATGTTTTCTGCTTCATCATCTGCACACAGAATATGATCCCTAAATCAGGAAGTTCTTCATTTAAAAGGTCCACATATTCAGAAGACATGGTCACATATTCAATATAAATGCAAGTTTTGGATAATTCATACTACTGATTAAAGAGATAGAAAAAAAAACTCTGATCTTTGCTTCCTATTTTATGACCTTTTTTTGTGCCTTCAAGTCAGTTTTGATTCCTGATGATTGCATGGGCTAGTCCAGACATGTCAAACACAAGGCCTGGGGGCCGGATGCAGCCCGCGGAAGTAGTTTCATGTGGCCCGTGAAGCCATCCTGGAAACAGTGAGGGAATGGCCCCCACTGCCTTGGCCCTGGACCAGGCCGGCCGGGAGCCAATATACAATTTTGTGGTGGCCATCTATGCTGAAACGCATTCAGTCTTAGCTCCACAAGGCCGTCTAGAAACAGTGAGGAACCCTGCTGCATCGGCCCCGCCCCCCTGGGTGCATGCTGGGGAAGTATCACCCTT